GTATTGATTTAAAATGAGCAGTTAGATTTTCTGTAACAACATTTATTAGGAGGTGACCTCCCAATAAAAATGCAGAAATCACTATATTATATTAAAATAAGTAATTTATGTTAAATTTAGAATGCACTAGTTTAGCTGTTTTTTTGTTTTTTTATTTATTTATTATTATTTTATTATTATTATTATTATTTTACAATTAAGAGTACAGAATAATTTACACATTTTATGTGTAACTATATAGCTGGTGCAGCCATGTGTTAAAACAGAACACACTTTGTACAAATTACTGTGAATTAACTTTAAAAAAAAGGCGAGAACTCTTAAGTACACAATGTTTGACGCAATAAAAAAAAAGAACATACAGGACTGTGCAAAAGTCTGCAGCCCAGTCTATTTCTTTGTTGTTTCCCCAGGGCCAGACTTTCTTTAAAGTTTTTTTTATTATTATTAACTCAAATTTGTGAATTAAAACAAAGTAAAAAATCAGACTTGTGCTCAGAAAAATCCATCTTTCGGACATGATGGACAAAATGTTCCTTGGTATTAGGAGGAGAGAGACGTTTCAGCTTGTTCATAAATTAGCATCTGTAAAATCAGAGTAATGTGTGGGTGGAATGGTGTGAAGCACATTAGTGTGTGGGTAAATTTCACACCTGTGAAGGCACTATTGATGACTGATTTTTTTATATTTGTTGCAGATGGAAAAAAAAAATCAATGTACTCTTCAGAAGTATTAATATACCAGGTGTTAAACTGCACCTGCGAAAACTCACAGAGAACACGGATGCATTATGCAACCGAAGAATGTCAAATACAAATTAAGCTAAATGCAGTGCTGGCTCTAGTCATTTTGGTGCCCTAGGCGAGTTGAAGCGCACCCCCCCCCCACCCCCGAACTATGTCCCACCCACTCCATTTTGAACCCCTAAAAACAAGTTTGACAGTGTACGGTACCACGGTAAACTTATATTTATTTGCTTTCCCAGAAAGCAAATAAATAACAACATACATGTCAACTCGTACGGATGGTCCTTAAGTTATAAGGATTTTACATCATTTTGCAGGAATACGGACGTATAGAGCAATCTCACGGATTTTTTCAAGTCTTACAGATTTTTCAAAACCTCATTTTCAAATTTATCTTAACATGTAGGTGATTTAAAAACCAATAAATAACATTAAATAGCCATCTTCCAACCTGTTCTGCCGCTAGAAATAAGTTTTTAACTTTTTCTGCTCTCCTTTCCTCCTGCTTCGCAGTGGGCGCTTTC